TTATTTTCCGGACAATTACGGCCTACCCTTACAACTAACTTATTTTTTTGTATGTACATAAATAGCCAGTTTTCGGGTTTTAAAATAATAAAAAGGTGTTTTATGTTGTAAATTTTGATGTAATAGCATCATCAATAATACTAATTGTTACTACATTTAATATTTAATTTTTTATAAACAAACTGCGCAACTTGGATTTGATTAAAAGTAACTCATTATTTAATATGTTAAGCAATGAAAATCAGTTATGTTAAAAATGTTAAGATATTTAAAATTAAATTAAAAAAATCTGGTATGTGGAGGTTGCTCTGCAGTACATTAGGTTACAAGTTGGTCACTGTAGTGGATGATGTTAAGTTTGAATTCAACGATGAAAAATCATTGTATGCGAACAACGATTCTGAGAGAAGACGGTCTGTCAGTCTTTAATATTACTTAATTATTTAGTATATTCGATGATATTATTGTGATTAAAGTAATTTATTTTACTAGTAAGTATTAGCACTAAGCAGTAGATTAAATTTATTTTAAAAAAAATGCACTTGAAAAGTCATTGTGGGTATAAAATATAATAATATACTTTAAAAGTTTCAAGTACCCACGAATAATATTTTTAATTTACAACAAAATAACATCAATCATTATTCTTGGTAATTTAATCTTTAATTTAATTCACATTTGAACATAAATAATCTGTGATAGTATTTTTTTGATTTTTTAATAACAAAATAACCTATTTGCTTGGAACTTTGTTTTGAATTTTCATTCCTAACCTACAAAAGTTGAACGTTTCAAAAATTTTGAAAATCATTTCTACATTTCAAATGATTTTGTTAAAATTTAAACTTTAAATGCTCATTAAAAACATCGTGCCTATGAATTTGAAATATTTTTCAACTAATATTGTAAATATCTATCAAGGGCATTTTATTGAATTTTCAAGCTTTTTTGCTTAACAAATACAATTTTATTAACAATTATAGAAAAACAAAACTAAATAAACTAAAAAATCAAATTGTTTGTAAACAGCTCAAAACGAGTACATCAAAAGTATATGAATTGAAAATATAAACAAATGGTGTGAATTTCAAATATCTGCAATTATGGGGTTTTCAGTTACAAAAAAATAAGTAAAGATCACTATATGAGAAATGGAGTTAATATTCAATGTTGTCAAAATGTCAACTTCAAATTCTCATAAAAATTTAATTTGACTTTAAGGTAGAATTTTTTTTTTTTGATGAAGGTAGACACACTTAAAAATGACGACGATGAGGGGCGTTAGTATATTATAATTATTTGATCTCTCGTATTGTATATGCATTTACTCTCAGAAATAAAATATGTTTCTACATAGGGGTAGCATATTTTTCATGAAATTACATTTTTATTTGAAGTATAAAAAGTAAATTTAACCACCAAAAAAATATGAAACCAAAATGAATTACTTTAAACATCGACGCTTTCGGGCTTCGGCGGAATCCCTGATTATTGTGTGTGCACTGCGGAATAAATCAGATACCTATGACTGAACTTTAGTTTTACTTTGCTAACTGAAATTTTAGATCGATCACGTCTTTGCAATTACTTAGACAATCGCCACGGATTGCATTATAATTTATACTACGTCAATATGATAAAACCATAGATATTTATTATATTACAAATTTTTATATCAAAGAGGTCCATGTTTGAGATTTGATCGATAATGAAATGAGATATAACAATAACCAAAATAGTTTATAATTTTAAAATTTAAATTTCAACAATATATAAACTATTATTTTAATTTGTAGTTAAATAATTGATAAAGGTGGTGTTTAAATATTCGAAGCACAAGCATTTTTTTATGAATTAGTAATTAAAAACCTTATTGGAAATAAATGTGATTACTACTTTTTAGATTTATCATAAAGGTATTCAGTGCCTAATATATCACATTTACCGTATACCGACTAACCAACCATAATTTGTAAAATTCCAAGTTAAATCTTTTATCTAAATACTGTAGAGCACGAAATTAATAATTAATATTTTATGTATTCATTTTGAGTGCATTGGTTAGATATACTTTAAGCTATTCGAGAATATTTAAATTTTAAAATTTCCTTATTTAATTTCCGAATTTCCGATGGATATTCAATAATCAGCACAGCGACTTTCCCAGCTTTATAACATAATTTGATGTACGACGGCGTCACTTTAATTCGCGGTTCGACCGCAAGCAGACGGCCACGGCATAGTAATATTCATACATTACTTAACATTTATATAAACTAAAAATAAAAATTGTTGAATTTTGCGGGACATAAAAACTCCCGTGTACTGTACTTCTGTAATATAACTAGTATGTACAACACTATTTATATATATTTAATTTTATAAATATGTTATTATTCTGCGACCTGGATATGCTGTCGTGGTTTTGATAAAGTAATATTTTGTGTTGCGTGTTCGGGAACAAAAAATATGTCCCTACTTCACCCGTGTAGCAAATCAAATTTTAATTGTGAGACTAAAAAGTAAAATATTTAAGCCCCAAATGAATAAGTAATCAAACTTACATATACATCGATTCTTCGGGTAATAAATAGCTATAGCAAGGCGCCATATCGAGCAACTTCTTCCTTCATCTAAATCCGAATTGAAAAATCGAGATTTTTTGTAAAAATTACTTGAGTAAAATGAAATATATGAGTAAATGTTTATTGTTGCCATACACATTTCATTTTGTTCAATGAAATTATTAGAATTGCTAATCGTCTCCGGTGAGTGACGACGATCGGCTTTTGCCATAGATGATAGGTATCATAATATAATATGTTGTCATCAGTTTTCGAGTTTTTGACTTCTTTGGATTACACGATACATTTTGTATTTCAAATTCCGAAACAGAATATCAATGGGATTGTTTAAATCTATACAATGTAGAACACGGCACTCTGAGTATAGGCCATTTAGATTTTTAGATACACTACTGTCGGGAGTCAATTTTTACGTCCGGTGCAATGATTCAATGAGACTTCTTTTTAAATTTGGAATCATATTTGTTCGAATAGATATTTGATCCGACTCTGACATAAAATATATTTGTAAAAATTTAGCATTATTTCCAATTTCGGGTAATAAACTACCTATTAAATGATGAACTTGACCCTGAATTTTAAAAGTGGGCATGAAGTTCCCTTCAGCTATTTCGTTTGCTCCAAACGATGTCATTTGAAACAGAGTATTATACCGTCTACTGTCTAGAATTATCAAAGAAATGTTTTGACAGAGGGTGAGAATTGTCAATTAAACTTTTAATAAATTCTGGAAGATCCTCAAATTGTTGTAAAACAACTTTACCGTCAGCGCAGCAAAGTCCATTGGTTTCATCTTTCCATTTTTTTTTTGCATGGCACTTAGGACATAATATCGTCATTGGTCCTATTTGAAGCGCTTTAATATTTAAATAATCAATCTCGGATTGATAATTAAACGCTGCTTTCATACTTAAAGCGTTACGTTGCTCCTGAGCAAGTGTTTGAGAACGTTCTATTGTGTTATACATTCTGTTATATTTTCGAGTATCATTGGCAGTTCTTCTGCCAATGTATGCTCTTGGCGCTCTTGGGCCTTGGCATGATGATGAATTAGCCACTTACCCGAAATTTAACTTATAAGAATAATCAAAAAGTAAGCACAAATTATGCTCGTAATTTGCGTACACGTAATTCACGAAAAATAATAATTCAAATCAACAAACATGCCCGATTAACCAATAGCAACTATTATTATTTTAATCTGCAACAACAACTTTTTATTATTTAGTTTGTTTTTTTCTATATAGATTGCGCCACTATTGTATTTTTGACATATTATATATCCTACTTTCTGGTGGATTTTTCTAAACAAAAGTGGTCCTATGACCTCCAGCAGACTATCAAGTATAACAGTAAAAAATTTCAGCCAAATTGGTTCGGTAGTTTTCTCGGGTAGCGCGGTCTAAGAAAACCCTTACCATTTTATATAATAGTATAGAAGTATAGATTTTTTTAAGAAGTTTAATACCTGTCTTATACCTTTTGATCTGTTTTGTCACCTTTATTTAGCTAAGCATGTAAATAAACAATAAATAAAATATTTCTACATTTAAGCCATTGTTAAATTTAAAAGTATTTGCAGTGCTTGGATTTTTTTATTTAGTTGTATTGGATCAGCACCATCTAATGCATTAACTTAACACCATTACAAAACAGAATTAATTTTTATACATCAGATACCCACATTATATTTTAATGATATTTAAGCAAAGTCTTCAGCTTGACACTTTTCTTCGTATAAATAATAACATTTATCATATATGTTATCCGGAATTTGTCTCCTAAAACCAATTTGCAAGAATATTGTTCATGTGCTGGCATGGCTCTAAACAATTGTATGAAAATGAACAGAAGACCCATTTGAACTGAAAACCACAAAATACTATATTAATTTTATAGACTTCAAAAAGAAATTCATATATTTTCAACAAATAAAAAAACCTACATAATATGATATAGTATATTGTGATCTTTTTTTTATTATTATTTTCTCCCTTGTTTACCAACAATGGGCTATACAAGAAATAAATCTTTTAAAAGCTGTAGGTACCAATTACAGTAATAACTGATAACCTAACGCAGTCAATCAAGAGCACAAGATTTGTAAATTTGATAAACCCATCTATATTGGAAATATACTTAACATTATTATGTTCAACATTTTCTAACACATTTACTATATTTTGTTTAGGATTTTGTGTGCTCGATGTTTCCAAGACAAAAATGTATGACTATCACTATAAGGTGATGCAGAGACACTATATGGGGACAAGATTAGGTTTATGTATACTGATCAGTGTTGTAAAAAAAACTTTTAAAAAGTATTTGAGTAATTACTCAAATACTTATAAAATAAAGTATTTAAAATACCACAGAAATACTATCTATAGTAAAGTATTTGAAATAATTTTCAAATACAAAACAAAAAAATCAATTTAATTCTGAATCATTCATAATATATTATATTAATCGAATATTTGAGTGTTGCATTTTAAGAACATAATTTGTTCAAAATGTTGATTCATCATATTTGTTCTTTTTTGAATTGTTGCATCGCCAACACTAAACACTCTCTCTACTGATGCACTGCTAGGTAGTGGAGTGTTGTACCTACTTCACAAATACCTGAAAACTAAGTACAAATGTTTTTGTAATATTACTACTAATAGTATAAGAAGTTTTCAACTAATCTTACTTTTTTGATAGTGGATAAATTATGCAAACATTCTAAAATCTTTGTTGGAGATGTGCCCAAAAATCTATCTATTTCATCACTAAATGTTGATTTTTCCTCTCGGGAATTTAGTGACCGGGTCAATAAGGAAGATAAATTATCTTTCATTTGGTTATCTTCTACATCATTATTGTCATTATCACTGCTAAATAAGTCACAACAGGCACTTTTTAAATATTCAGAGGCCAATTGCTTTTTATACCATTTTTAATCCATACTTTTTTAAATAGTGGGTGGCAGACAGCAGCAGTAATCAAAAATTTGTCTATCAAATAATCGGCAAACCTTGTTTTCATACCTAAAAAACAAAAATTATTATCATTTAAGTTTGTTTATTTTAGCTCATGAGTATATAAATGTATTACACAGAAATATAAATATAAATAATAGATCAGCTGATTAAAATTTTACATTATACATCAGTAAGACTGTAAGAACTAAGAAACTCTATATATTTACTACTTAGTAAATAGTATTTACCAATAAAGTAAACCAAAAACAGATAAAACGAAAAGAAATTAAATGTGTACAATTTAAGTACTTGGCTAAATAAGATTAATGTATTTAAAAAATATTAATTATTACATACCATTAAGTATGGCAGTCACCAGAAGTTTCATATAATTACAAACTGTTTGATCACTTGTCATTGATTCATATTTATAAATTAATCCTTCAATTGAAGGTAGGAAATGGTCAAAGTACATGTTAGTATCACCCTGGATTAAATCCAAGCTTATTGAAATTGGCCCCATAATTTTTTGATGTTGACACATGAAATCAATATCACTTCTATCAAATCTGAAAATATTCATAAAAATTATAGATAAAATAATTAATAATTTTTTTGGATTTACAATTTACTTGCTAATTAGCCAATTCGTCCATTATTATTCTAAACTCAGGTTCATTATTTTTAATTTATTTATTAAGCAGCACCACTACATCATACAGTGAATTCCAACATGTCTCGTTGGGTGTAATTAAATAAACACCAAGATTTTGTTTAACTAAATCAGGTGACTTAGTTGAGCGACATTCTTTGTTCCAAAAAGAGGTAGACTTGGCAAAAGTGCTTCTTGACTGTTTTTTGTATGCAACATTAGACAAAGCTTTTTTAGAGTCCTAGAAAAAACAAGTTATATAAATAAATTTTTTTATTTTGTATTTAATTTGCACAAATTTGTAATTAATAATAAAAAATTAAACAAACATAATTCATTGATATTTAAAATTGAAATTTGGGTATAGATAATAGAAAATAGTTAATGCCAATCATATTCATACTTATATCTTGGAATATTTTTTTTCATATATTTTAATCATTTAAATCGAAAGAAAAATTTAACTTTTAAATGTATTACAATTCATACAAACTTAAATGATTATTATGTATTAAACCTACTACCTAATAGTTTTGTCTTGATCACTATACTTGCTCAAAATATTTTTAGTATTTTATAATTTAACAATATTAGGTTATCTACTTTAATAAATGTTTAATTATCATTGTTGCTATTAAATTTATTGTGTGTGCACAACATCGATGGTGTTTTGGTAATGCATATGGCAAATCATGGTATTCATCATTTAGAATGTTCAAGTTGATTGCGTCGATTCCTTCTAAATCATCAACAACCGTATCGTTCACTATAGCAATGTATCAGTATATAGTCATGTAGTCATGTAAATATCAACTACTTTTGTTAATGCTGCAACTAAACACTATTTAATAAAACAAAAAATAAAAATAAACAATACGCATTCTTACTTTGACTAGTTAATCTTTTGTTGTTCGAAAAATCTTCTAAAACTGGTTGTTTTGTCTGGTTATTTTTATCTGATTGTCTTAAAGAACTACCAGCATTATGCTTCAATGATCCATCATTGTGTCTCTTTGAAGTGTTTATGTTCGCTGCATTATCAATGTGATCAATTTTCTTTAATAGAGTTGATCAGTTGAATGTTGTATCTGTATAAAAAATGAAATAATATAACCTTTTACTTAACATTATAAGTTTTGATAAATAATTTACATTTTTTGATCAGTGGAGCAACTGGGATTCATTTTTGAGGGGGGAGGGGGTTATTTATTTTATTTTATTTCATATACACAAGAATACTGGGCTCCTCTGAGATGACTCGTGGGGGCCCAGGAAAATATATAATATAGAATAATGAGATCTATGATGCATTTTAAGCACTTGAAATCTGACTTTTAAAAAGCTGTGCGCCACTGTTTTTGATATATATTTATTTTTTGTAATATATCAGGTATTTGTGTGGTATTTAAAATTAATTTAACATACAAGATATTAGATAGGTCAACTGTCATAGGCAGGTATGAAATTAACATTGTACCTACTTATCCTTAAATGTTTTCTTATATTAGTTTGAATGTGAATCCACCTTGTAACACTTTGTATCGACACAACTTGAGCACTTCACTTTCAGCTTCTTGTAAAAAATTATCCTCAATGACTCTTAATACTTAAAAATATTTTTGATAATTTGGCCAGGGTAAAATTGGTTCTTCTAAATCTGCAACCTGATGCAATACAATTATTAACAATCTGTAGGACCGTCAAGCAGACAACAGCGAACACGATACGAATGATACGAACCCAAGTAATAAATATTACAATAGTGCAAAACAGCGCAGGGGGCTATTTAGGCTATACATTCAATATTGTAATAGTGTATAACTAAATTGTTCTTTAATGACCAATTGGCAATTGGTTATTTGCAGTCCGTACCACGATTTAAGATATATCTTAAATCGTGGTCCGTACACACAAAAATAATATTATTTTCTAATAAAATTATGAAAATAAGATAATACCATGTTCCACATATTATTATGGTGCTATAGCCATATTCATTTATTTATAGCAGAATCAGTTATCAGCCAATATCAATGTTTATGTCTTATATTATATTTATAGCTTTTAATGAAGAATATGGGCCTGGCCACACATGGCGGTCGAGCCGCAGTGGTTCAACCGCCTGATTAGTGATTACAGTTTACATATGTGCGGTCGAACCGCGCGGGGTTACACCAAAATATTGGGTGATTGAAAAATGATTATATTTTAATATTCAGTTATCTGATTGCCATTAACACGAAAGGTTGGTTAACAGTAATAATTTAACATAATAGCTTCCGTACGAAATGGAAATAAACCACGATCAAATAGTTCAGGTTTTGTGTGTAGCTGAAGTACTTGATATGTTACAAGATCCTGTGCAAAGGCCACAAAGAAAATATTGGGTTCACCCGATAAATGATGATAGGGAAACAAGTGGACGCTTTTTAAAGTTTTATGACGACATAAGATTATACTCGTCAAAGTTTTTCATATATTATCGTATGTCAATCAAATCATTTGACGAGTTACTTCAAAAAGTACGTGACCATATATCAAAGAGATATACACCTCAGCGGAATCCTTGGAGTGCAGAGGAAAGATTAACCACCACACTAAGGTAAATTACTTTTATAAATTACTAATTAGATATATATTATTATATTTATTTATTATAAGTATTAATTAAATGAAAATATAAAAATAACATGATCGTATTCGTTATCGGGTTACTTACTGACTAAACACCCAAAATAATTAAATTAAATCAAATACATATAATTATAATATGATGGTAGGTACCGTTAAGTAACAATTTAAGTGAACAAAAAAAAAATATCTCGAACTTCTATACTTAAAACTATAATTAAACATAATTTATTCTTGATTGTTTGGAGAATAATTTTGTTTCTGAGGGCAATTTAAATAATCATAATTATTGTGTGGAAAAGTTAACTGGGGGGTATTAGTATCAGAAGGAGGACTTTGTGAAAGATAAAACGATGGTGTGACTGCAGGAGAATTATATGGATTTGTTACTATAGGATTAAATGTTGCATTTAAAATCAAACAATTTGAATTTGTTGGGCGGTTCAACCGCTGTGGCTCGATCGCTGTATGTGGCCCGGCCTTAAGTAGTAAGTCGTACCCACATATTATGTTGTCTCCGTACACAGTACACACGTACGGTCGTACGGGTATGACATAGCTAATGTTCGTATAATATTTCGCTATAATATATGTTGGTAGGTACCGATAACGTACCGTTGCGATCTTCGTCGACGATAAACAGACGGTTTCACGGAGTAAAAAATATTTAGCTTCAGATATTTAATTAATTAATTTAATCTAAACTAAAGACGAAAACTAAAATCGATATCGAATTGTTGATAAATGATAAATATATATATTATTATAATGACATTATTATTATTTGACAAGGAATAAAGAATAAAGAATTAAAGGAATAAAAAAAGTATTCAATAAAATAATATTCAATAGTAAAAAAATGTATTTAAAATACCGTTCAAATACTTCAAAAATAAAAGTATTTAAAAAAAGTACAGTGAAACCTGACTTAACGGACACCTGTCTATAACGGACTCCTTCTATTACGGATACGGACACTAACATTTAATCCAACAATTTCATAACGGACAAAAATACATACATATACAGTTTCCTACTGCATGTGCGATATTATATTATAATCTAACATTGGACGGATCACTATTTTAAAATTATAAATATAAAATAACACGGTCATCCAATCGCGGTCGGCAACGAGCGTGTAGTGTGACCCTCAAAAATATGGTAACAAAAACGCGCGGTTCGTCGCAGAAGCAAGGAATGCCTCGTAGTAATATAATAATTTGTTTATCGTTTATGTAACCACTAACCAATATTTGAATAATTAAATGTAATATGTTGTATGTAACAATATGTATCGTGATCCGCGGGCAGGTATTAGGCTGACTCGCTCGAATGAAACAAAACGCCCGGGATACATCTGCAGAAGAATGTATTGTATGACATTCAACAATTCAGGCCATGGTCGGATCGGCAAGCTGCCGAGGAAATCTCGGTGGGCCACTTGTTATGAGTGTTAGGTGGTAACCTTTTCTTTTTATGATAATGAGAAATGAGTACAAACATAAGTATAGAAATATTAAATAATAAATATATAATTTAAAGAAACTCAGTGGGCCGATACCATGACTATCCTGTTGCACCGTAACCGACTCGACAAAGGACGAAAACGCAACACGACAGTTGTATACCACTAAACCATAATCAGTCCATAGTATACAGGATGCGTGGACGGAAAAGGGCGGATTACTTGTCATTGTATAACAACGGCGTACAAGAACACAGCGATACAGAACGCAAACAAACGTGACATACTGACATACCATATACAAGCTGATAAAATGTATAAATTCGACGGGAGCACTACAATGACACTCAAGGCGGAATGTACCACAACAAAATACGAATGCGCATTGAAATTAAGATGACACTTACGGCTTGTAACAAAAACGGACATAAACCGTCAGGGTAATTAATAGAATAATACTTGATGCTATACAACAACGACTGTCGCGACATAGCTGACACTTGGATGCACACTTGGTCAAGGCAGAAAACGGGACATGACATGTGAATATAATATATATTATCATTATATAGATGTCTTTGATAATGACATTTTGGCTAGGTGCAACGGCGGGTTCGTTTTAGTTCAAATCCGCGGTGACAGGTGTAACACCAGCTGAAGTCATATGCATCACAATGCCTGCAGACCGGCGGTGAAATCACGACTTTCCAACTTGATTTTTGTCGGGACTGCATATTTCAGCTCATTAAAAACTATTGATGCATCCAGTTGGCGGAGGACAGTGACCGGATCTCGAATTTGAACGAAATATTATTGTGAATCCACTGCCATATTATTTTTGGGCATGTATGTTAATGTATTATAACTTATAAGAGCATTATGGTTTAAACTGTAGAGAGGGAATACATTATTCCGCAGTGTTCGTTGTCACAATTATACTAAAATAATATAATTTAAAGTAGAAGGATTATATTTTGATTATCCAAATTGGATTTATCTTTTTGTGTGAACGACGATCCATGCGTTGATGCAAAAAAAATTTGAAATTTGAAATATTTTTTTCACTTTTGAATTGCGGTGACATTAATGTTTATATAAGCACTGTACTATCCATTGAGGGTTCGGCTTTGGACACACTTTAAGACTGAATCATTCAACCCACCACACCACCAAGTTGGTGGCACCAACACGTTCTTTTGTTCTGCGATATTTACGCTTGGTAGCTTGTGCTTAAGGTCGGTGGGTGATGGTTTAGGGGTACTCGACTATATAAGTAGTAAGAGGGTCACTTTTCATAAGATCAGAATAAGATTAGAAATTACGATTAATAAATCCACACCTTTTAAGTCATTTGTTTACTTAAAAGAAATTTGTTGTATATACATTATACCCTAAAATGTTGTATAACTGCAGTAGTCCTAAGTGGGCATAAAAATTTGTTTTTGTAGGAGAATTCATTAATATGGTATCAAGTATTAAGGAAAGGAATATTTAATATTTATAGAACATAATAACATGGGAAACTTGCATTTACTTTTCTCATTATTGTTTCTCCTATTACCTCAGTTTTAATATTGTCAAATAAATTAATCAAATGCCAAATACTCTATGATACATCACATTTCACTTGTTTTATGTTCTCAACGTATTATAGCCCCCATATGTATATAATATACATATTTTTTAAGTTTCACTATAATTAAACAATACAACAAAACATTAAAAACATTAATTGCGTACATCATAATTGTTTGTACCATCAGAAATATTTCAAATCATAAATTATACCAATCTATTCCTTGTAACCTAATAAAATTGCAATGAAATAAAAAAAAAAAATAATGGTAACTAAAAAAAGGATTTTTAGTTAACTAATATTTTTAAGGCATTTCAGTATTTGTTATTTACCTGGGACAATAATGAAATTATATTCTCAAATATACAATTTGTTTGCAGGGAATTTTACGTTTTGTCCAGACCCATGGCATGGTGACATTATTGAGCGAAAATCATCATGTTGCCACAATAGTGAAAATGGTAATAAGTTATAACAATCAATGACTGACGGATTAGGATCTGGTGATATGAGAAATTCTTACATTAAATATTGGCATTTTTTTTTTTATATAGATTAGAGCTTAACCACTCTTGCCACCACAACGGTTTCCAGAATTTCCCGAAGACTTCAACATTCTTGGGAGTTTTCTGGCAATCAGAAGGCTGGCAACTCGTATGGGCATACTGAACCGAATTGTTCAGTTAGTGGACTATGTTCGACAATACTGGTTAACAACAGTACGTCCATCTGGGTTTACTGTTTATGGTGTAAACATCCGTACCAATAATAATGTAGAAAGTTTTCACAGCATGCTAAAGTCCACCATAGGCCTACATCCCCCAGCCTGGTCCTTTTAAGGTAATTTATTTTTATAAAAATTTATAATTGACAATAACTAGAATGGTGATTGATTTTTAATAATATTTTGCAGATCGATTACGTTCCATTGAAAATAGAGTACGCAGGGAAACCTTACAAACAATCAACGGCCAGCGAGTAAAGCTATAAAAACTTTACAAGTTTAAATTTTTGAAATGGTTTTTTATAAATCAAACTTTAATTAAAGGTAAGAAGATTAATTGTGTCTAGCAGAGACACAAATAACTGCATTTTGGCTGATGCTCAACAAAGCGTACGCTATGACACAATGGCATATTTAAGAAGAGTTTCCTACTCAGAGAAAGGATACATAAATAAGCAAATAGGCCCTTTAGCTAATGGTTGGTACCACATAAATTCAATTGAGTGTATAAACTAAATAACAATAAAATTGAGTTAAAGAAATCCTTCCTGAAGATTTGGGACAGCTACAGATATCAATGGTTGGACTTCAGCCTCTGCCACCTGTAGTGCCGCCATTCCACATTCATGGAGCTAGAAGACCGGGGGGGGGGCGTGGTTGTCAATGATCAGCAGCAGCAGCAGTTCCACAAATGGTCAGACATCCAGAACGTCCAAATGTGCGCCAACAACCAGAAAGTGGCATTGAAGATCATAATCTTCTCAGTAATATACAACTATACATTAAAGTTAACAACACATTATATACTCTAGTTACTATAATCTAAATATCAATATTATAGGAAATTTAAATAACATTGAGGCGCCTATCCAAATTCAAGGTAAATATATAGAAATAGAATGTGGTAAAAAATATATTGTGTCTTAATTAAATATAACTTTTTTGTTTGTATGATAAGCAAATAATTAAGACCGAAATGAGCCACTCAACCTACCACAAAACAAAAGTATGCTTTAGAATATTTTTACAAGTAAAATGTAGGAGTGTCGTCCTTGGGCGGTTTCTCCACCCAAGTACTTATGTATTGTAATTTATTTTTTTTTACGCTCATATGCTTATTGTAACTGCATTGTAAAAAATTCTAAATAATAAATTAAATAAAAATAAATTAAATTATTTATGAACAAATAATAAAAATATTCACTTACTCAATCACAATTTAATTTTTATTTAAGTTGAACAGCCAGATATCAATGATTTGTCAATGGATGAAGAGGTCTATGAAATAGTTGAGCTAGGCATAAACGATGCTCTTGTTGATAGTAGGTTGATTTAAAATGTTATAATACTCAGATATTATGTTAATAATTTTCTATTTTGTTTCAGATTAAATTACTCCACAAGCTCACCAGCCATTTGATTTGGATAACCCTATGTTGGAAGACTAGTTTTTTATATTATTATAAGAATATTTTTTTGTTAAGAAAACGTTACACAGACTAATTTTGTTGTTTTAGAAGTGCAAAACACAGCAAATTTTACTCTCAAAAAATTACATTTAGCTCCATTAGTTGGAGTGAACATTTTTTATAAGCCATGTCAGAGATTTTTTACTATATTTTAAATTTAAAGCAAGTGATGAGTATTTATGAAGTACGAATAGTTTACAATTTTAAAACACTCATAACTCCCTTTAAAATTAAAGTATAATAAAAATCCTGAGATACCCTTCTTAGCTTTAAATTTAAAAAGAGGTTAATTCACTCTTAATTTTTAAACTAACAAAGCTAAATCTGATCTATTAATTTTAAAATTTGCTGTATATTTATTCACATGTAAGAAAAATATCAACACAACGTCCTCCTGAACAAAATTGAAAAATAAACTCACTTAAATATCTTTTATTCTAAAGGTGAGCATGTAGATAGAGGTTTTGTTTGCCTTCAAAGTGGGAGCCAACTAAATACAGCCAACATTTTGGTGCCTTGCGGTCACGGATGGTGTTTTGATGAGTGTGCGATTCGCTTAGATAAATGTGATGTCTGCAAAATTGAATTTCCTACAACACAACCCATCCAAATAATGCACATTAAATTAGGAGATGGTAATTATGAGTGTATAGATTGTAGCATTTTTCTTTTGTAATTTTAAATTAAAAATGAACAATTTTTTTATTAAAAGGTAAATGGATGCAAAATACTTCCTTACTCGATCTAACTGGAAGTCAATGCCTTGGATGTATGCACCATGTATAATATGTACCAGACCAGACACAATACATACTGTTGGACTGTGGCCATAGATGGTATTGTGCAACATGTAATTCAACACCTCTGGCCACATGTGAAGTTTGTGGTGATATGGTCAAAGGCACGATAAGAATATTTTTAAATTAAGTTTATATTTCATCATTTTTTTGATGATTATTTGTACAGGTAGTTTTCTTTGTGTATTTTTTTTATTATTATTATTTACCTTTATAATTTTATGATTTGTTTAATTTTTTTTAAGATTGAGTAAAATGTAAAATGACTAAAATAAATATTTCATTTTTATATTTGCTTATTAATTATTATTCAGGAGAAGTTCTAAAAAACTTTCACCAATAGCAGATGATATGTTTTAATTGTTAAAACAAATTTTTAGCAAAAACAAATTTCAAAAGATAAGAATACCACATAATATTAATCTATGTATCGTAGAAATTGGCTCAAACGACTATAAAATTGAATATGGCAGATTTGTGTTAGTTATTATTTCATCATACTTGCAATTTCTACCTTTAAAAGTTGAAAATTGTAAGCAAGCTTACTTATATAATATCTACGTATTCTTAATATCTTATATACCAACCTAATCTATTTAAATTGCAATACTTCATTATGCACTTGATCTGCCGAAATATGACAAAAATAGTAATTTAAATACAAAAATTTTAAAAAAAACATGTTAGATATCATTTCAAAACCAACACCTATCTCTTAATAGTTAATACTTAAAAATGTAATTTATCATTAATCATTGTTTTACTTGAATTCAAAACAGTTATTGTTTTTGAGGTAATACCTAAAATATCTTCAAAAAATAAAATTCCAATTTGGGAATTCATGTGTATAGACAGCTTTTGGTCAAATCACAATTAATATGGGCTGTAGACGCCCATCATCCGAATAGGTTGAATGTATTTTAAATTGCTTACAAACCTTCAACTGCAGACAGGATGGTCTTGTATCAATGTGAGGATTAATGGGAAAAGAATATTTAAGTTATACAAAATACATTTTTTCTATAGAAACTGGAGACAACAAATTGTGTTTATTACAAATAACTCAATGAATTTCAAATTAAAAGATGTAATTGGGACTAAAAAAATATTTGCTAGATATTAAAAGTATTGTGGGTCCAGCAGAATTTATTTATTTTGAATTATATTAGTAATACAAGATGGGAGAGCTTTAAATGACTATAAGGATTATAAACAACAGTACAAATATAATTTTTACTTTGTCAGTTGTCACTTGTCAAATCATAGGAAAAAAATGACTTAATGACATCGAGATGGATACTAAGAATTAAGAAAGGTTAGGTGGGGTAAATAACATATCAAATATTCAAATACCTCTACATTTTAATATCATACCGTGACACCGTATAATATGCTTCTGTTTTTCATTCAAAAATTCTGAAGTTCTAAGATCTTCTCAATACCGCGCACCGCGGTTTACAATTTTTTAGTTTTTACTTATCAGTTATCATATAGATGCAGTTATCTCTATCAGAAAAATGCAAATAATATGTCGGAGTAATTTAATGTAATATCGCCAATGTCGGCATAGTTTATGTTCGAAGTAATTGATATCGGAGCAGTATTATGATGGACAATGAAAATTTTTTTTGGAGTAACATAATGTCGTAACAGTACATAATTGTAGAATTGGTGTTATCCCAGTCACCACATTGCAGTCCAACACGATTTAATTTCAACAAATTGTATTTTATAGTCATTAGTCATTGTAGATAGAACTGATAGAAGGAAAAACAATGGTTCTAGTCAACAAAATATTATTGACGGTTGTATCACTATTTTTACTTAGGTATCGTATTATATTTTCAATTTGGCCGTCCAGTGTCAACGACTTGTATAGCAGTCGTCAACATCATCTTGTAGACTTAAATTATTTTCACGACTGCTGACGGGGAAATGGAAACTGCATCAAGTAAAAATTATGTTCCGGAAATTGATCTTTACCCAATCGAAATTGTACTAATGTTCCAAGTTTGTTGCAAGGTGATTTGCACGAAAGACAACAACGAGATTTGTGGTGGACTGCCAGGCCAGAACGCCGTACGGTGACATGTTCTCGTTAGGCCGCAAAGACCTGCTTTTCAGCCGGCAATACTGTCGACGGAGCAAGATGATATGATCAACGGCGAAAACTATGACATGCGGCAACAGGCATACGAGCAAGATCTGGTAAAGCAATAACGCGTTCGAACACGGAACACTTTTGCATTTTTGCTGCCAGCACTTATCATTAAGACTCTTTCCAGCTGCGCTGCGGGCGCAGAAACTTCAATGAACGGCGCGCTATTCCTCCTAGCGAGCCATCGAGTTCACCGGTGATCTTGCCACCGGCCCGGTTGTTTAATTGTGCATACCGCCGTGAAAATCTCGTGGGATCACGAGACTTGTGTTTTTGTCGTTGCTGCAATCAGCCGGCATCATCAGAATCATAAGCAAGTAATCGATTTTTTGTTTTCCGTCTTAGAGGTTGACCACAACGCAGCGTCGCGTACGTTCACCGCTCTCCGCAATACTTCGTGTGATCACGATACGTGATAATATCGTATTTGTCATTGTTGTGATCAGCCGACATGCCCAATTTGTCAAAATACCTACTCATCAATTATATTATTGTGAGGGTCATCAGGTTTTGCCGGTTTTGGTTTCCGTCGTGGTGTTCCGGGAAGTGCCGCTGACTTGTGTGGTATATATACTCGCGGTATCCACCTGTCGAACAGCCGCAGTGGTTTCCTCTCGTAGACCGAAGTCCGAGAGAAGCAATAAGACGCCTGTGCTTGCAGCGGAAAACGTTGCTGCAAAAACGGAGAAATTCGGACGGTCTGTTTGCTAAGAGAAATTGCAAACGTTTGCAAACATTGCAAACGCCATGATTCAGCGTTTGGCCTATTTAGAACTTTGAAATAATAAAAAAAAATTTTTCCTTAAAAATGGTTCGCTTTAAACAGCGTTTATAGAATATTTTAAACTTTTAAGAACCTAATATCAGCTCTAATTTTATTTTTTCTCTCATTTTTTTTTAAGATCGCCTGTTACCAATAATATATGAGACTGATAAGTTATAATTAGGCTTGCTATTCATTCCAGTTTTAAGGGTATGTCGCATAATGTTCCGTCCTGTCATTCAGTTTGTCTTGGTAAATAGAGGCTGGAGTGAAAAATTCAAAGAAAAGGATATATCAACAGCTCCAAATCTACATTTAATTTTGCAGTAAATCTTTTGCATGCAATGAATTTTTGTTACAGTAGAAACTAGAAGGAGTAATTTTACTTATAAATAACGCTCAAAATACAAGGACTGCAATATAATATTCGAAATGCTTATTTTTTTATAAGAATTCGATTATTTATTCAAAAATATTTTGCCGTGCCCTCATGAAAAGCGTTGAACGAGACGAAAATGAATCATGACCTTAATATTGGTATGATGTATATCTATTATACTGGAATAAGCTGTTATTACTTATTATAATCTGTATAAAATAGAAAGTCGAAACCACAGATTTCGGAAAATAAGTGTCAAATTAGCAGAAATCTCACTTAAATAGCTTCAATAATACAGGTAACATTTTTGGATAACACGCGAATTACAAAAACAAATAATATTCCAAGCATGATAGTAATGACGATTTCCGTTTGCAGTGTAATTTATTGTGGTATTTAATTTGAAGAACAATTTTTTATGGTTTTAACGATTTTTTCAACCACATCGCTTAAAGACCACTGCTGTATTACAATAATATTACTTATTGTCTTATTGTATGCCCTGCGTATGTCATCTATTTTGCTGTATGTCCATTTTGACCATTTTTAACTCGGACCACTCTTTCTCTATTTTTACCTGATTAAATTATAATTTGTAAAACTGAACAGTTTTGTGTGTATTATTTTTTCAAAATGTTTCGTATTGACAAACTATGCTTTACATATTATATTATTTTCTATAAGGTATTCTTCTTCTACAGTTTTAAAACGACGCACTCAAATAAAGTAAGCATTAGTTCCTTTATTTATAAATTTATTGGAATTTCGTGTTTTTGAATTTTTGAGTATACGTAATTTATAAATAATTCGATTTCTTATATGCCATTCAAGAAATATCCTACACCGATACAAACATAATTTTTACAAACGAGAAGCACAACAATTTTTCACTGTTTATCGTTAAGCAATTATTTTTTGGAAAATGTTTTATATTATATAAATCAAATTTTGAAATTCTGAGTTAATAACCTTAATGCACTAAGCATAATAATAGTCTTTAGCCCTTGCGTCACTGATCCATGAGGGGCTAAGATGATATGAATATTATTGTTATGAGGTAGGTACTTTACAGTTTATATATATATATTTTAAATGTTCAAGTATAACAAGTACTAGACTAAACTATTACATTTATTCTATGTTTTATTTGCGAATGTATTATTAAGAACTTTATAACTTTTTTAAAATTAGTCTATTGCAGTATGACACAAAAAAACTCGTTAGTACTTGGATTTATATGCAAATCAATATTTAAAAAAAGAGCAATTATCAGCAAAAAGAATGATGATTTCTCAACTGGATAAAAGATATTTATTTCAAGCTATTTAGCCACTCCTTAAATGGTATAAAAAATATAAGTATGTAAAAATATATGAAAACATGGTCTTAGGGTTTATTTAAACATTTCGAAAATCAGAGTTTCACTTAGTGCATGGTTGGCGAATCATCTTGTCTGTATAATAACGTCCACAGACATGATCGCTTCGCTGATTATTGTTTCTCATAATTGTCTGTAAACGATAGCTTAATAATAAATAAGCAGGTAGTTATTTAATATTGTATTCCGTGGTTGAACTTACGGTTGATAAAGAAAGAAAACGTCATAATAAAGTAAACATTAAGATAAAAAAATTGAAACCAAAACGCC